GGGTAGAAAAAAAATATTCAGATAAACACATTCATCTTACCCTTATTTTTGTTTCATTGTACAAATGTGTAAGTATGTCATCTAACAGGTCTCGAATTAATGATGGTTTATTATGTGCAGCTGAGTTAAATGTTACCAAGGCAACACGACGGACATTCAGATCAGGATCCTGCATTGTGTTCAGAAAATCACCGATGCAGACTTTCAGCAATGAATCCACTGGTTGTGGCTGAAATCAAATAACATTCACATCAGCATTCACAAGTACACAAGTATGCCACAGATCAGCATGTGAGATGCATATCAAAAACGTATTATTCTACAAGCCACACAATGTATACACTGCACTACATAGGTATTATAACATTTAAAAGAGATGTTCCTTAAGTTCTTTTTTTACTAGTGAACTAATGAGCCTGAGTTCACTGTTGAGCTGGCCTTATGTTCAGAGTTTGCAGCAAGTTATTCCAAAAACAAAAGGGTAAGCATCACTCCAACTTTTTTCATCCGTTCTCAGGTTATTGTATCATGCACAACTTTATTTAAATCCACTACAACAGCAGTCTATGGGCTCATGAACGTAACATTGTTACAAGGCATTCCAGTATCCAACTGTGGTCATTCCTAAGATATAATTTGGTCATGTACATGGTTTAGACTGAACACAAGTGTAGATAAACACACTATACTTACATGGTCTGAAATTGTGAATTTAACTGCTGTAACTACTGTACTTCTAGTATACGGTGAAGGTGAGGACAAATTTTGCTGAAAAAAATAGAATATACAAGATTAAATGCAGAACAAGGTGACACATTGTTCACTCAAGTCTGGGGAAGCTTGCTTTCTCTGGTGATTTTTGTAGAATCACAACAAGATTCCAGCACAATGTTCATCCTCACCTAAGCTATTCATATAAGGTTATCACTAGAATACTGCTAAGTATGCAAGTAGCACTACGTAGGCATGTTTTGACTGAAACATAGCAGAGGTGGATGAGTTTGATTGAAATTTGATTAGTATGTGAATGTTGGTGTTAGTATTTATCCAATACAAAAAAAATTTGAATGTTCAGACAAGTGTAGATACATTTACAGATACAGCTTTTTACAAAATGGAAAATGTTATTGTTTTCAGGGATTATTTACTGATGTATAATATAAGGTTATTACAAGGATACCTCAAAGTATGCACAAAGACAGTACAGCTGGAGTATTGACAGACGTGCAACAGAGGTCGATGCGCGACGTACTGTCTGAGTGCGGACTTTGAGGTATCCACGTAATAAGCTTATTATTATACATCTTTTTCTTCCAAGGATACACCCGGGTAATGCGGAAATCCAAAAGGTTTAGAACAGAATCAGCGAACTTCTTTGTGTGGAGTCCGGTCAAACTCTGGTGACAGCCATGTTTGTTTTTATTATTAGAGGATGCTTATGTGTGTAATCACTCCATATTTGGTATTCGTATTTCCTAATATGGTAGGATGGAAATACCCCGTAAAATACCACAAAATAACGGGACGCTGTAACTTATGACGTTACGATGAAAGATGTATAATAACAAGTCATTGAAAATGACACAGAAAGTTCTCTTTGTGCTCGTCATATTAAAGCGGAGGTGTTGTCGCGAGTGTGTCCTTGAAACTTGAGTTCCAAGTGGCGTATACAACAGATTGTTTATGGCCAAAAATAAAAACAGACGTTATTCGGCCATCTTTGATCTGATTATGAAACACACTGATATGTATGATGTATGTGCCAAATACGAATGAAAATGGTACATAAATTGTGGAAATATAGTAGTAAGGCCAAAAAGTCAGATGGCTGTCAATCAGCCATCCTCAACCAGATTTTGAAACAAATTGTCATGGACATGCATCCTAACATATATAAAGTACATGTATGTGCCAAATTTGAATGAAAACTGACAGAGCACGTCCAAGATACCGCATAACAAAAAAAAAAAAAAAAAAAAAATGCCTGCCAGTCGACCATCTTTGATCCAATTGCGAAATAAATCGTCATGGACATGTATCCTAACATGTATAATCTATGTACCAAGTTTGAATGACAACTGACAAAGCATGTCCAAAATACAACATTTTCAAAAAACAAGATGGCTGCCAGTCGGCCATTTTGAATCGAATCGCTAAACCACTGCATGTGCATATGTCCCACATAAAGTACTAGGTACATGCAAAGAATGAACGGAAACGGTCCAAGGGATTCTGAGATACGACTCCGGACGGACACATGGACGGACAGAGACCAAATTATAAGTCCCCGTTTTCAGACTTCATCCGAACGGGGACTAATAATAGACATTATAATACATTTGTCACAGCATTGCTGCAAATTACCGTAATTTTGTGGTTTCGCACAGGATATGAGCATCCTTCCATATAAGGAAATGTAAATGCTAACTATGGAATGATTATATGGTAATTCAAGGATGACAAAAGTTTTTGAAAAACAGAATTCATGGTGAAAAAGTTAATACATGTTCAGCAATTTACGGTATTTTGTCCTTCACTTGTATTGAAGATTGTTACATAACTTGTTCAAGATGGAGGGCTTGACTGATGTATGGAGAGTATAAACTACACCTTTATCAGTGAAAGGCAAGGGGAACATGTGTCCTGCTAACATCTCATGCAGTGGCACAAATGCTCACTAAGATATAACCATAAACTGTTAGCATAATTATGAAACTAATAACTGGTTTGATTAGAGTGACAAGATACTAGAACTTTTTAGTACTTTTGTTGACAGGAAAAGAAAGTATACAGACCTTTAATTTAGGTAGTAATGAAGCAGGATCTATAAGAGTAAGTTTACCAAGGCATTCTGCCACAACATTCCGTGTACCTTCCTCTGCACATTCACAATGATTAAAAAGTAAATCCCTGAAAAACAAAGATCACATTACATGCATACAGAGTAATAAGTTGACTATGCCTGATAGTGGGCTAACTTAGTGGCTAGCACACTATCTCACTTCGATGTGTTGACTCAGGAACACACAAAACATCAAAGAAACCAGAGAGCTTTTAAGTTTAACTTCTTGTTTATCCCGCCATTTTCAGTTACACCGGCACTACTTTTTACATATTAATACACTCAGGTGATCAGGTGACATATCACCATTACAAAATTAAGTATTCTGATGCATACAATAAAGTAGTCCCAAAGACGTCACACTCGCATAGAATACTCCTCATCCAGTATGGCACAGGGTGATTTCATTGATTGTAATGATGGATATATCATATACCATCTGCATATGTGAGGTGTTTAACCAGTGATATAACAGGGCTTGGTGTTAGCACATGCTAGTATGCCAGCTGGTGCATAATGTAAAACCTTTTATTTTCACTATTTTGAGCTTATTCACTGTGGGTTAATTTTACAAATTTGTCAAGGTAACAAGTTTTATTTTATTTTACATGTTCATGTAGATTTAATTCAGAAGATTTTAATTCATCACCAAAAATAGTGAAATTAAAACCTCAATGAATATTTAATGCATTTACAGTAGCAAAGAATGTAGTGGCCCTGGAACATGAATGAGCCTTGTGTTGTATTGTAACAAACACACAAAACACCAAGTCAATTGAACCAGGTGTTTGAATTTGATATATAAATTATTTTGTTTCAGTTAATTTGCATACTATCCTTTTATTTTTTATGTCAAACCTCACAACACAAGAATAGTTGCATCATTATTATCAAATTACGTTAAAATATTATGCAATGCAATACAGTTGTATTTTATCATGTCCAAATATGGGAAATGGTTTGTTACTATATGGTATTGCAGATGTCTATTTTCAAGTTTGTAGAGGTTAGTTTAGTAACTTACCAAATATTCCCAACGAATGGTTTGAGAATGTCCACTGATGTGCGGTTGACTGACTGACATGCAATAATCTGAAAAACAATTTATTTTAGTTAGAAATATCTCTATATGGATGTAGACAATTTCCAGAATAAAAAACAGTATTTTCTCCAGTTTTGTGTTCTGCACTGACATAGATGAGTATCTCAACGTGTCATTAACCAGGCTATCACATCTTTGTCTCGTGATTTTTCAACACAAATTCAAATAACCTTTTCACCACTAGACATTCTCATCTAAATTTGTTAGCACATTTGTTTAATATTTTTGCAACTCTAATTTTGGAGCCAACAGAATTTTTTTTAGCCAATTTTCAGTTTTTACTCAAAAAATTTGTCTACTTTTGTCCCAATCTCCTGCAGGAAAGTGCAGACTATAAACAGGAATATTTTGTGAATTTGTGGTGAAAAGGGGAACTGGTGGTGAAAAGGTTAAACTCGGCCAACTAATTGACCCACAGATGACTAAAGTGGCAAATATTTTTATGTCAAATACCGTATTTATCCGGGTATAAGCCCAGGGTCCTGAACATGGAAAATTGCCAAAAAGAAGGGGTGGGCGTTTGCCAGGAGATCCCCGGCAAAAAAACCGAAAATTCGCGAAAATTGACAACACGCAGCTCGAACTGCGGCAGGGAATAGAACGGCAAACTGAAAACATGCAACGGAAATAAATGAACAATATGCAACACTAGAAGTCGAACAAAAATAATGTATTGCTTATAATGTGACAAATAAACCAGAAATAATAAAAATCGACAGTGAGGAATCATTTGAATTAGGATTTTCCCGCCGACAAACACGGCCAATACACGTGAACTCAAAATGAATTAAAATGTCAGGGGTTAAACTGCGTAAAATGATTTCCGGTCTCGACAAATTACGAATCAACCGTCATACAAGATCAATAATAATTTACAAATTTACACAGTAAAAATTGTAAAAATTCATAGCTGTTTGAAAAAAACTTCTCAGATCTTTATTTGTACGTTCATTGCCATCTTCGTCAAACTCAAAACCCTCAAATATCCAAATCGGCGTCACTGTAGCCGTCGAACAAAATCCCTACAACTTGTTCCTGAAGTTTGG